GACACCGCCTCCCAAGAGGTCCAATCACGAGACAAGCGGTGCGTAAACAAGTTGAAGCCCCGAACCTACGCCCTCGAAAGGCTTGGGGGAGCTCCGGAGCGCCGAGGAGTCCAGAACCGCCTCGGTGGGAAAGCGGCCAGTAGACCACAAGAAAGTGGAGGCTCCGTCTCGGGGGCCGAGGAGAGACCTCCCCCCGGGACAAAGGCAAAGGCCTCCTCCACGAAGATGACGCCAGGCATCAAATCAACCACGCCCAATCCATTCACCAAAATTCCCAAGGGGCTCCCCTGAGGGACCACTGTTTGTGAGATAATCAATATGACGTAACATTAAAATTGGCTGAATTGGCTGATTTCTGCTAAAATATATGAAGTTCTGACTAAAGTGATTGGAATGACTGATTCTGTTGATTTATTACAAAATTATATTTAAAATACTTCTTAATAATAAAATAAAGAAAAAATTATATGAAAAATAGCTAGAATGATAATCTACAGTAACATCAGTCAATACAGTCAGAAAAGTAACTTCAACCTTACTTTCTTTTATTATTACACAATTCAAAGCACGAACTTAAAGTTACATGTTGAAAAAACGGACGATTATAGTATAATTTGAAAACTAAGGTCACCTGGGCTCTTACACATTTTCAAGAAGGAAACACTAGGGGTGGTTCGGTACGGTATACCGAATATTTTCTCTCATACCTTTGCCGTACCGAAACTTTCGGTATACAAAATTTATATAACGTCACATTACCGAAGTTTCGGTATACCGCATTTCGGTATACCGAAGTTTTGGTTCGGTAACGGTACGATATCGGTAAATTAACATGCATGTCTTGATGTCCCCCAATTCAAAAAATTATCATAGACTAACAAAATATAATAAATCGGTGTACTAACGACATATTTAATCCATTATTAAAATGTTACAATGTACAATTAATAATCTATTGATGTCATATTCAATATTGAACAATAATTATTATTAGTATATTTAAGCAGTTCAACATATTTAAATAACTTGAACAATATAGATATAATTAAATGAATAGTGATCTCTAACAAAATAAACAAAACTATTCAAACAACATGGATATAAAATCATTTATCCATAATATGATATTGTGGATGTATTTATTTATTTTTTTATAATTTTAAATAAAATATATGAATAAGACTTTCAGACAAAGTTTTGTGCCTCGACTTGCAGAATCTCTATGTCGGTACACTCGTCAGATAAATGTATCCCTCTTCACTAGGGGTGGGATCGTCCGGTCCAGGTTGAGTTTTTGCTAAACCCGGAAATTACCCGTAAGGTCTCGGGTTAGGAAAATTAGGGACTGAAACAAAGCCCACTATATTCGGTCCGAGTCGGGTTTTTTGTAACCCGGGTTCGGGTTGGACCGATTAAAGCCCGAATGTGAAATCATCTCATTTTTCTTTTATATTTTAAAATCTATTTTTAAATAAAATTAATCAAAGTACAAACCGCAAATAATAACACAAATATTAATCTCCAAAATCACCAGGAATTCAAATCCAAAGAAGACAATTATCATACAGAGTAATATTTTGTTCAAGACGCATAAAAATGAATAATATAGGTTTTCTAAAAATGTTAGGAAATAAAATTATGGATAAAAATGTGACTTAAGTTACTATAAATATGTTATCATGGGCATTAAGGTAAATAAATTGAACATATTTGTAGTCACTAAAAGTTATTAAGTCATTTTTTCGTCCACCGTGATTATAATCATATACTCCGTATTAATATATAATTTATAAATTATATTGGTATATTATATTGATTTTATATTAAAGCTAATTGTTTCGAGTTTTTGTCGGTCTGGGCCGGGTTATAGATTTTAGGACCCGTTAATGAGCCCAAAATTTTGGGTTCGGTCCGGGTTTTTTTTATTCGGTCCGATCAAAAAGAAAAATATTGTCGTTATAGGCTCAAAAGTTGGTCGTTAAAGCTTTAAACGATCACTTTTTTTTTGTCGTCAAGTGGTTGTTATAGGCTCCGTCGTTATTGGTTTTAACGACCAAGTTCGTCGTTAATAATATTTAACAATTAACGATAATATACAATCTCGTCGTTACTTATTAACAACAATATACAATCTCGTCGTTACTTATCAACAACAATATATTCACTCGTTACTTAACAACGACAACATAATTTTTTGTTGTTACATACGTAATAACGACAAAATATTTAACAATGGTAATCGTTTTATAATAACCACCACAACCCCACGACCCACGTAACACTTCTTTAACAAACTATATGTTAAGTTTTTAAAAATTATAGTATTGATAATATTAACATAGAATGCAGTATATATCAAATTAAAGTTACAATCTTCCAAGTTCCAATACATCTAATAGTCAATACATGTCTTTACACATGAAAATTGTTGTAAGTTGACACAATAATCATCATCCACATAAACAAAAAAATACTTTATTCTAAAACATTTGTACGAATCATCAACAAAATGAATAAGGAAAACTGTCAAATAGGTCCTCGAACTTTCATAAAAAGGTCAATTAAGTTCTTCTATAGGAGGTTCTGTCCAGCTGTCGCGATTTGGGGCAATTCCCGGTGGAATATTTTGATGAAAGTTTTTGAGAATCTTATTCACCAAGTTTAGTTTACTCATACCAAATTTCAGCTAAAAATTCAATCGTGAACACATTCAAATTAATTCTTGAAGATAACTGCGCATTTTTGCGTTCTCGAATTAATATGAATGCGCTCCCGATTAAATTTTTAGCTGAAATTTGGTATGAGTAAACTAGACTTGATGAATTAGATGCTAAAAAAATTTCATCAAAAATTCCACCGGGAACCGCCCCAAATCGCGATGACCGGACAGAGTCTCCTATAGAAGGATTTAATTAACTTTTTTATGAAAGTTCGAGGACCTATTTGACAGTTTTCCCAAATGAATAAGACAATACTAAATCAAAAACTAGCAATTCATCAACACTGCTGCAACTTCTCATCGGCAATGCTGCAGCTTCTTAACGGCATTGCTGTAACTCTCCATTTCATTCAGTTATTCATCAAATCGATCAAAGGAATTCCTGCAATTTCTCAACAACACTATTGCATGTAACAAACCACATGCAAGAGACCACATTTTAGTCTAATTAAACAAGTGTCATATACTGGTTATGCAAAGGTTATGCAAAATCATATACTGGACCTGCCACTTCATCCTCCTCCCGATGTTCCATTTCCTCCTCTTATAAAAGTTATCTTGACAATTGAAGTACAATTCTCCTTAAGATAAGTAGCCCTCTTCTGGAAGAAGGTGGCCAGTCAATCATCTTCTAGTATGTCAGCATAAAAGAAGAAATGATTTACTTCATCTTTTGATCTATAAACATGATCAGCCAATCTAAAATCATATGGGTATACATTAATTCATATGATAAACTAGTTGGAAAAAGTTATTTTATTTTGAAAACAAGCAACAACCAATAGAAAAGTGGACATACACACTCTTGTGCTCTCTCCACATTTGGAAGCTTATCACTTTTTTGTAAGTAGTATAGAAAGTATCAACTAATTAACTTTGGATCGTTCCTTCACTTGCACCGTAAAAAACACAAGTATCAGGATCAAATAATCAAACTCAATATAACAGTTCCTAATTTAACACTATGACAACAATAACAAGATCGCCTTAATAGTGAAATTAGGTACCTTCCTATTTATAAACAATAAATAATAAAAGTTAATAATTAATTTACTACGTAGTATATATTTAGAAAGTATAATACAATCTAAATAGAAAACAGTTTTTAATGAAATCAGTTTACTGTGTTAGTTATTTTATAACAAATATACATATAAAACTTAATTACATAGGTACACATCAATGGAATAATGAACATAAGTACATAACCATATACGTATAAAACTTAATTATATCTAACATGTTAATTGATGTATCTAATTTTTAAACTTGGGAAACTCTTAAACTTTTACCTCAAAGTGCATATTCCTTAAAGATAACATCTTGCAAAATAAATAATGATCCATAGAAGAAAGAAGGAGATTATTTTATATTCAGCAAGGAAAATAAAGGTAGAATTACAATATTCAACAATATCATAACTCGGTCCGGGCTAGGGTCGGTTTTCGGGTTTCGGGTTTCGGGTCGGGTTTTCCTACCCCTACTCTTCACTCGTCAGCTATTCAGCGGCTCAGTCATCGCGACTCGCAAGCTTATGGAACAAGATGAACTGGTTTGGACATTAGTATATTACTCATTAGTCATTAGAGTTTGTTTGTTTGAATGTTACGTAGTAGAAGCATAGAAGGTATTTGGGAAATTGAGTCTTTGTTTTTGTATTTGTAACCAACATAAGTATTAATTTTGAGCTTCAAACTTGTAATAGACTTTTACAATATTTTAGAATTTATAGTAATCGCTGGGTGGAGTCGGTATGATATATACCGGTATACCGCGGTAATTGAAAACATTTACTGTTACCGTACCGAAATATATCAAAAATGACGGTATACCAATATTCCGGTATTTTCTGGTATTTTTCGGTATGTTAAGTGCGATATACCGATTTTCCGGTATTTTTGCCCACCCATATGGAATACTCCTACACCTACGCCTACGGTAGTATTGGAGTGAGGTGGGTTGAATTTGGAAAAAGAAATGAATTTTAGAGCCCGTTTGGAGACATCTTTTTTGGCTTATCAGGCTTATCAGTCAGCTTTTTCACCAAACACGATTAACTTTTACTTTCGTGTGCTGAATTGTGTAATAAGCAGAAAAAGTAAGGTTAGAATTATTTTTCTGGCTGATTTGGCTGAAGTTACCGCAGAGGACCATTTTGGCTATTTTTACGTGTAATTTTTTCTTTAATTTATTAATAAAATATATTTTTAAAATATTTTTTTCTTAAATCAGCAAATCAGTCAAAACAACCGATTTTCGTGCTATCAAACGGGTTCTTAATGTTCGAAAATTGTTCTCCTTTGCACTGTTTTGGTTGACCAAATTGGACGGTTGGGGTTGGAGTGAAAAGAAACGCGATACAATTGAAGCCGGCAGCAGAAAAACAGCTCGAAAAGAGAGCAATGTTGATAGCACAGGCGGGTTTAATCCCAATTTCGTCATCGATTTCTTCGGCAAATCACTGTCCTCGTTTCAGATTCTCCTCTTCCAAGCAATATATTCCCTTTCTCGTCGGTAAGTGCTTTAATTACATTTCTTCTTCTCAAGTTCATAGCTTCTGTAGCTGGGATAATAGATATAATGTACCAGTTTGACAATGCTCGCAGTTCGCCTTTTAGTCGCTTAAGTAGTCTTCACGTGGAATTGTGGAGATCATTAATGATAGGGTAGACACGAGAGAAAATATAGAGGGAACGATGGAAAAAGGGAGAGTATTTACTGGGATGATAATTATTATGAATGGAAAGTGATACAAGACTTACTTATTTTATAATTTTTTTCCTTTTCTTATAGAATTATTTCATTTTCATTTTTCATTTTTGTTCCCTTTTACAGTTTTACCCTAATTTATACTAGTATAAAAAAATTACTAGTACTACATTTTCAATTTATTTTATGTCCCTCTCATATCTTTTATTTCTATACCCCTGCAATTTTTTCTTAATATCCGTGAAAATACAAGTAATCTTTTCAACCATAATTAGCTTCATTTCCTCATCATTTTATTTGAATGTGTATGAGATTTAGGCATATTCTTGAAAAGATTGCAGTTTTCGAGGTGAAACCATTTGATCAAGTTTCAGAGTGGGCAGCTGCCCAGCTTAAAATAATGTAGAATGGAAACAAATCTGACATTTTTTCCCCTCTCTGAACAAGTCGTCTTTTGACTTGAAATTCACACATTAGAAGCCTATAAGATTCGGTTGGTTGTGGTTTGTTACAGCCGCAACAATGATGGGAGATGATCCAATTCGTGAGTGGATACTCTCAGAAGGCAATGCAACAAAGATTAAAGGAGTGAGGTCAATTGGTGGTGGGTGCATCAACAATGCTAGCTGCTATGATACTGATGCTGGTCCTTTCTTTGTAAAATCAAACAGGTGTTTCTTTCTTATGTAGTACTCCGTATCATTTTTGCTTAAGTAGTAGTAGGGGCGCAAACAAGTCAAGCCTGTCCTGAGCTGCTTCGTCACACTTGACTCGGGTCAGGTCAAGTTCAAACTCAGCCCCAACTTGAATATACATTTATACTTGGTTCATGACTTGCAAATTAGCTCCGGTGCCTTTACCCTTGAGTAGTAGTTACATTTCACTTTCACATTTACACAACTTTGACCACTATTGTAGTTAATTCGTTATGAATAAAAATCAATTAAAAAAATATAATTTAAAATTTACATTGCCACAATATATTGTATAAAATAATTGAGTAAAAGCCTAAAAGGTTAACAATATATTACTACCTCCGTCCCAAAATTAACTTCCCATTTCGGATTACGATGCTTGACCGACGATAAAGCAACTCGATCCCTATTCATACTCAGATTACTTTTAGTAAATAAAATTTACATATTGAGAATCTACATTAAAACCGCTACAATGGCTGATAAAAAAAATTAAATTTGATAAAAAGTTGATATATAAAATATAAGATTAAGAGTAATTTAAGTTGACCATGTGAATAGTGACTGTGAAGTTCATTTTGAGACGGAGGGAGTACATAAAATAGTTTATAGTGCATTAATAAACAAAACGTGATCAAACTAGAGTATGTGATAGTACAGAACTACAGAAGTTAAACCCTTGCAAGTTATAGTTGAAGTAGTATATAATATTAATAATTTAAAATATTAAAAACATTATCAGTTTGAGTCAAACTAGAGTTTGAGTTCGAATATCATATCCTAGATATAAACAAAGCCAACTGCACAAAATTCAAACTTGTAAGAATTAGAGGGTCAAACTCGAGCCAAAATGATTAAACTTGCTCAAGCTCGACCCACTACCAATATTCAGAGCTCGAACTCAAGCATACCCAAGTTTGAGCTCAGAATGGCTCATTTGCTCTCCAAATTAGCAGGATGGGATGGAGTCATGTACTTGAGTTTGGAAGGAAACCAATTAGATGGCTCCATCTTGACCAGCTTGAGCACTAACATGCTTAGTGGTCACAGGAGCTTTGGACCATCAATGTTTGAGGGAGAGGCTGTGGGTTTAAATGCCATGCTTGAGACCCACTCAATCCGGGTCCCTAAACCATATAAGGTTAGGAATAATAGCTGGTCGTCGGTTCTCACTCATTTGAGTCTTTAAGGAGATTGGGAAATTTCTGCTTATTTGAATCGTAAAGAGGTTGTTTTGCGTATTGAGATAGGTCGGGTCTCTTCCAACAGCTGGCTCATACTTCATAATGGAATTTATCGAGTTTGGTGCATCTAAACGTGATCAGGTGTGGATCTATATAGTGTGGTCTCTGCTCCTTAATTATTATTTTTATATTTTCCATCAGTTAACATCCATCCTTTGGCACTCTTCAAGTCTGCATTAGGAAGGAAGCTGGCTGAAATGCATAAATCATCCAAGTCTGAGATGGGGTTTGGTTTTCATGTTGATAATACTATTGGAAGGTATCATTTAGAATGCACCGACTATCTAAACCATCTTCTCTTCAAGAGACACAAAAAGCACAGTAATATATCTATATGCTTTCACATAAAAAACTTGTCTGTCAATTATTCAATAAAGGAATAATACATATTATGATGCTTGTTGTAACGTGGTATTACATCTACCTCTCCTGAGATTTTGTTAAATAACAAAGTACTGTAATTCTTAACGCTTTTGAAAATTTTAAATACACCCCTTGGTAAGTAAAATTTTCCTCAATTACACATAAAGATTACATAATTTTATGATTTTAGTAGGAATTGAGTGTTTTCATTTTAAATAACTCTTGACGTTTGTGCCATTTATTTCTCAAGAAAAAAGAACCTTGGACATTTTTAATCAAAGATATGCAATTCCAAACTAAATCAGCCTGAAACACTTGATTCCTTCTAACGTCATACATTCATACGTAGTACTATTTCAGGGTAAAAGGTGCCATTGAAGAAAATTGACTATCCATTTTTTTAATTTATAAGAACTCCAGGAACCATTTGTAAATTGATCAAATCCCAAGGGGAGATAAATGTAACCACCGCAACTCAAAATTACAATTGAGACTTCATCTGTTGTAATAAATTTATTTTACAGTACTCCACAGATAAACAAATGGACACAAGATTGGATAGACTTCTATGCAGAGCATAGATTGGTTTACCAGCTACAGTTAGCTCGTGAACATTATGCAGACTCAACAATTTACCAGAAAGGTTTTAATCTGTTTTCTTTCTCCCAAATCCACAGTATGTGTGATAGAGTGCTACTGACATATTTTCCTTGTTATTTATATGGATTTGTTTACTCTCAAGGACAAAAGCTGGCAAGGAATCTAAGGCTTCTATTCCAGAATGTTGTAATAGAGCCATGCTTACTTCATGGAGATTTATGGAGCGGCAATATCGCCTATGACAAGAATGGGGAACCAGTGATTCTTGACCCAGCATGCTATTGTGAGTTCTTGATTCTTGACCTTCCTACTGTAGCCCTATATCACTTTTGGATTATTAGTCCTGAATGTCTGTTGGTGAAAGATCAACTTTGGAATGACCAAAACACGTACTACGTATATCTTTTAGAAGAAAATAAAGTTAGCAAGCACGCTACTTGGCCACCATTTAAAGAAAAAGTGGAAACAGGTATTGCTTTGATTTAACATTTGAGCTTACATAAAAAGGAAAAACAAACAATTTGTTCTAGCAAATCACTGATGCTTCCTATAGCTGTTTGGCCTCATAATATCACCAATAATCCTTGACTTTTAGATGGACATAATGAGGCAGAGTTTGGAATGTCGTGGTGTGCTGGATTTGGAGCCGCTTTTTACAATGCCTACTTTGAGGTACCCTTGCACTTTCTATGCCATCTTTATTCTTTAAGGTTTAGAACATATACTGAAAATCATAATTGCACAATGGACGACCATGTTGTTGGGGTGCAACTCAAGTCTCACATTGGAAAAATAAGGGAGAATCACCTTGAATATAAGTGTGTGTTTACTCCATTAGAAAGAGGCCCTTTGGTAGATGCCACAAACAAATCCATGGGGGCTTGGTCCTACGCGAAATATCATACTGATGTAGACTTAAGGCGTCATTTGCGGTCTTAACCCATACTTTTCTTAACTCCATCTTCTAGAGAGTTCTTCAAAACTAAGTTATTGGTGATAAAATTTTCAAAGGCTCAGTATTATCTCTTATTTTACCAGTTTTGTTTTTACTATCCAGTAATTTACAATGCAACTTGTCTTTGGCAGTAGCTATTTCTTCATCTCCCTTTGATTTGACTTCTTCCTTTGTAATGTATCAGGTCATGCATAAACAGTCTGGTTTTGAGGAAAGGAAGGATCTTTATATGTTGTATCATTACTTGAATCACTATAACATGTTTGGTTCTGGATACCGGTCATCTGCCATGTCCATAATAGATGATTATCTCCGCATGCTAAACTTATAGTGTGTCAACATTTTCTTGTTTCTTGTATATTTGGAGGCAACGTTTTGTATTGCGAAATCATAATCTAATTCAGTAGTACTGTAGTACTTACCTTTCTGTTGTATTCAATTAATAATATGGCTGTAAATAATTAAATATCAATTATCCATGTATGATCAATCATCAATTTGAATGGATTAAAGTCGGAATAAGTACATAAATCTGATTTCTATAGTTTTGAAAGAAAAAATTGGGAGTACGATTTTCTTTACCAAAAATATGACCGACTTTCAAAGGCTTAAATAAATTCAAATTACTTCTAATTTTGATAAGGTTAACGGATAAGACTAAAGTTATTTTTAATCTGACCCAAATCACCCGATAACTGTCTATTCCATATATGTTTTACAATTATTGAAATAGGGGGTGTTTGGCAAATGGCTGTTGACGGTTGGCTGATTGTGTTGGCTGATTTATAACAGCAGATTGTGTTGGCTGTTTCGATCAGCTGCTAGTATTAGCAGTTTGTAAAATGGTGTTTGGTTAAATCACTTTTACATACACATTATAAATTTTGTTAATGTTATTTGCATTAAAAAAATATTATAAATCTCTTTCTTTAAAAAAAAATATATTTGCATGACTAGGCCATAGCCGTTTTTATGATTTACAAACACAAAAAAATATTATCAGAAGCAATAATATTTTTACACATTATTTTTAATATACTCCGTATTAACAAAACCTAATATCAATAGGAGTCATTGGTATAAATAGCAACAAAACCCAATTTTAGTATGAATTGGAATAAAATGCAAAAAATAAAAACAAATTTAGCAGAAATCCATTATCAATTTGATGAATTGACTAGGACTTGGTATATATGAGTAGAATTGTCAGAAGAGAACATATGGATAATTGGGTAGATTAGGAAATGACTTGTATATGTGAGTTGTATTTTAATCGAACGTATGTGTATCAGAAGACTAATATAGGAATTGTATCGGAAGAGAACGTAGTGGGGTAGATTAGGAAAATTAGACAAGAAACTCAATCAGCCAGGCTAAAAGCTAAGTTTTGTGGCTTTTTGAATTTTGGCTGTTTAGACAAGAAGCTAAATAAAACAACCATGTAAACAAACATTCCTATCAGCTGATTCATTTGGTCAAAAAGAAAAATCTGGGTCAAAACAGCCAAAAATGGCTGATAGGCCATTAACCAAACACCCCCATAGTCTAGTCTGACTGTCTGAGACTGGAATCAATCCAATTAAAAACATTATATAATATAATTATGGATTAAAACTAAAAAATTACAAGAATAATTTCTGACCCCGTTTAGTAATCACTATTTTCAACTTATCAATTTTATCAAACAATTTTGTAGCAAACGTTTTTTCATTTTTTAAAATTTTACCACTTTTAACGGATTCAACTAATACGAAGTACTAGTTTACCAAATTGGCCTCTTAGTTTTACATCACGTAGGATAACGGAGTATTTTAGTCTTGGGATGTTTTTGTTTGGATTGATCAGATTAAATCAGATGAGACAGTCTCAATCCAATTAAAAACCTTTTTAGTGATCATTTTCAATTTCGCACTTTAGTGAGTTAGTTACCATATCATTACACTCATATCTACTTATTTTTGTCTGTTTGATCAAGTACGAAGTAGTATTTTAGAATTTTATTTGCTTAATGTAATATACGGAGTATTAAATAGTAACTTTCTGTCCAGAACAATATACGACTATACGAGTAATATTTGTTTTATTAAATAGGTCTTATGCTTCACTACCTCTATTACTAGTTATAATAGTTGGTTATTACTATTTACATACTCTACAATATTCTAATATTACCACATTTAATGATATATTAATTAATTATGTTAGCAAAAACAATGCTAAATTTTTGTAAATGTAAATTTTTAAAATAGAATTTTACAAGTTTTATTGTCTATATCTTTATATTATATAAAGCAATTGGGTGGTCAATTGATTTTGCAATTTTCCCTCCTAAAGCAATTGCGATGTTCAATTGATTTTGCAATTTCGCAATTAAGTTGTTTGGTCCATCCAGTCACATAATTAATCTTTGTATTATATAAAGCAATTGGGTGGCCAATTAATTTTGCAATTTTCCCTCCTAAAGCAATTGCGGTGCTCAGTTGATTTTGTAATTTTGCAATTGAGTTGTTTGGTCCATCCAGGCACACAATTAATTCAATTAAAAGTTATTTATTATTCATACGATCATCTTTATATTATATTTTTATATTATATAAAGCAATTGGGTGACCAATTGATTTTGCAACTTTTCCTCCTAAGCAATTGCGGTGTTCAATTGATTTTACAATTTTGCAATTGAGTTGTTTGGTCCATCCAGGCACACAATTGATCTTTATCTTTATATTATATAAAGCAATTGGGTGGCCAATTGATTTTGCAATTTTCTCTCCTAAAGCAATTGCGATGTTCAATTGATTTTGCAATTTCGCAATTGAGTTGTCTGGTACATCCAGCCACACAATTAATCTTTGTATTATATAAAGCAATTGGGTGGCCAATTAATTTTGCAATTTTTCCTCCTAAAGCAATTGCGGTGCTCAGTTGATTTTGCAATTTTGCAATTGAGTTGTTTGGTCCATCCAGGCACACAATTAATTCAATTAAAAGTTATTTATTATTCATACGATCATCTTTATATTATATTTTTATATTATATAAAGCAATTGGGTGACCAATTGGTTTTGCAACTTTTCCTCCTAAGCAATTGCGGTGTTCAATTGATTTTACAATTTTGCAATTGAGTTGTTTGGTCCATCCAGGCACACAATTGATCTTTATATTATATAAAGCAATTGGTTGGTCAAATGATCTTGCAATTTTCCCTCATAAAGCAATAGCGGTGCTCAATTGATTTTGCGATTTTGCAATTGAGTTGTTTGGTCTATCCAGGCACACAATTAATTCAATTAAAAGTCATTTATTATTCATACGGTCATGTATCTCTATATTATATTTTTACATTATATAAAACAATTGATTGGCCAATTGATTTTGCAATTTTCCCTCCTAAAGCAATTGTGGTGCTCAATTGATTTTGCAATTTTGCAATTGAGTTGTTTGGTCCATCCAGACACACAATTAATCTTTATATTATATAAAGCAATTGAGTGGCCAATTGATTTTGCAATTTTCCCTCCTAAAGCAATTGCGGTGCTCTGTTTATCTTCATAACATGATCATTGATCGATTTAATAATACTTCAAGTATGGAATAAGTTTGTAACAAAATAATCAATCTCCTTTCATCTCATTAATGTATATTGAGTATTCCCGTGCAACGCACGGGTTCATCGTCTAGTTAGTACTTAAAGTTATATATTGACAAATGCTAAAGTCGAATTGGGGTGAGTAAACAAGAATAGATGAATTAAATCTTATCAAATTCTAATACAAACTACAATTTTACAAATATAGTCAAACGCGAGCATATACTACTTCCTCTGTCCCATAAAATTCTTCTCACTTTCCTTTTTGGGCCGTTCCCAAAAATTCTTCCCACTTACCATTTTTGGACAATTTGTGTGGTTCATATTCATTTCACCTTTTTCTTACACAACTACAACCACACTTTTCCACTTTATTCCACTTTCTTAATCTCCGTGCCAAGTCAAAGTGGGAAGAATTTTCTGGGACGGAGGGAGTATTTCCAAAACACAGTTGATCAATGCTTGAAATTTCAAACAAGTAATTGATTTTAAAAAACCATTTTAAGTTTTTAACTTGTCCAATAAGCCTTAACATAATTAGTTTAAATTAGAATCACAACAAGTTATACGGAGTATCAAATTGGGTGGGTTTAAAAAGGAACTTGATTCTTTCTTGCTACTAAGTTAAAAACTTTCGAAATTATTTTTCAGTTAAAGACTAAACGGAGTAAAGAAGTCAACAATCTTTGGAACTCTTGTACAGTATTTCTATAATAGCTCCAGAATCCAGATGTTGAGATTCATATGCATATTCTTTTTTAGATGTGGTTTATTGACTATGATTTCAATAATTTCAACGTTTGCTGTTACAAACAAGAATCCCATAGTGTAGTACATTCTATTCTTTGACTATTAGGTTATGCAGCCTTACAAAGTCTGCTAGAGCAAGCTCTTCGGGTCTTGACTGCAAAAGGAGAACAAAAATGCCATAGTTTCACATACATGAGCAGATGAGCTGATTTTTAGGTTCCCATATAGCAGAAAACAGAAGCACAGAAGTAATGAATAAAAAAATGCAGTGATACTTACGGTAGGTAGAAGACCAATACCATTAAGAGCTTCTTCTATCTCATAGGAGGAGCAAATGTGCTGAAGTGATTTTCGCAACATCTTACGTTTTCCATTGAAAGCCGAGTTCACCTTACACGACAGGACAGGGGGACCAAATGATTAACTTTAATTTGTTTTTCTGATGCTGTCTATCAAGCTATTTTTTTGCATATAACTGAAAATTTGAGCAGTATAACAAACCATTGAGAAGAAACTCTTGCAAGAAGACACTGGAGGATAATTCACAGCTTGCTTTAGCCTGAAGGAAACAACTGCTGCATCAACCTGTAAAAGTTGAGAGACATTAAGTGGCTGAGATGCCGAGCTATGGCCAAATAGAACTTTATATATCATTAAGTTCTTTAGCCTGGACGATAAACACTACATTTATTCTGTGATCCAGCTGTATAATGGTTCTAAAGGGTTAGGAAACAAACGACTTACTTTAGGTTGGGGGAAAAAGGCTGTCTTTGGGACCTTGAATTTGTATTCAGGATCTGCATAACACATATGAACTTGCAAACTCAAAGAATAAAGACAGAAAAGGTCTCTTTCATTCAATGATTTGCATGTTGGTTTTAACAATATTAATTTGTAATAGAACATGATGATAATAAATATCTCAATTCATCGTTCATTCTCATCATTTTCTCCACACATGTTGGAGATAACTTATGAAAGTATCAACTATAATAGTTATTTTTCATAAAGATATTGCGTCAGAATAGGCATTCCAACTTTAAGAGCCCGTTTGGTAGCACGAAAATCGGTTGTTTTGGCTGATTCTGCTGAAATTTATGAAGTTCTGGCTGAAGTGGCTGTTTTGGCTGATTCTGCTGATTCAAGAAAAAAAT